ATCAATAGAAAATGGTACATATTTAGAGACACACTCTTGAAAGCAGCAGCCAACCACATAAGCAAATTCAAAGAAAAAAAGAGAAAACCCAAACCATTCAAACCATCAACATATGTGGTCAGAAAAATATCCAAACTCAAAAACCTCACTAACAAATGGGAAAGACAAAACATCACATCAGAAACTTTCCTCGCCAAAACAAAAAAAATACTTAACCAACTCTCAAACAAACAAAACCTCACAATTATCCTGCCAACTGACCTACAAGACAAGAAGATAATTCAAAATTGGAAACTCACACTCAACAAGCACCTTACGAACCACAAACAAATTCTCAAATCAATCTGCAACAACCAATACTTAGAAACTATCAGAGAACGAATACAAAACAGAAACAGCTACTTCAGTACAAACAAGAAACAGATGATTCAGAATCTATTAGATGACCCAGGAGAACTATTCATTTGGATAAAATTATCACACACAAGCCAGACGAGCAAGTCATCAATGACACTGACACAATAAAGAGCACAGTTAGAACACATTTCGAACAATAGACAAAAAAACGCAACACACAACCATTAGACAATACAAGATGGAAAAAAGAATAGAAACCAATTAAACATATACATACAGAATGGTACGACAACATGACACAACCAATCTCCACAGAAGAAATTCAACAAATTTTCAAAAACCGATCATCAAAAACAGCCCCAGGCCCCACGGGCATACCATACATAGCACTCAGAAATTAAGCAAAGAAACACTCAATTATCTCACAGAACTTTTGAACGACATACTACACCAAGAAAACCTACCACACGAATGGAAAATAGGTAACATATACCCCATACCTAAACCAAAACCATGGGTGAATGACATCAATATATCCAGACCAATCATGCTTCTAGAAACAACCAGGAAAGTCTTTACAAAAATCATAACAGACAGACTAGCACAAACTCTAACCCAACACAAAATAATCTCACCACACAACTGGTCAGTCCTTCCTGGTTGCAGCACATAAGAACCAATTCAAATTCTCAGAACAGTACAAGATAACACAGTACAAAACAACAAACAAGCATGGATTCTAAGTTTAGACATGACCAAAGCATATGACTTAGTTAACATTCAGAGACTCATACTCTCACTACAACGAATCAAATGTCCAAGAAAAATTATCAAAATTATTACCAACATGTGTGACAACAGACAGAACCAAGTTCTTACACCCTTCGGTCCAACACTACCATACACAAAAGAAGACGGCATCAACCAGGAAACACACAATCTCTTCACTCTTATGGAGAATTTTCTACAACCCTCTTATCTCACACATAGCAACAAAAACACAAGAATACACACTTACAGCCAAATACTGGACATATCCACAACAACCACCAAAAACGAAACCCAAAACATCTCATGCACAGCCTTTATGGATGATACAACATTGATAACTCAAGACAAAAAAACACTCCAAAAGCTCTGCGACATATATACAGAATTCTTCAATTGCAACGACATAAATATCAATGGATCCAAATCAAGCTTAATAGTTTTGAACAGAAAGAACTACACAACAGACCACATATCAATCCAAAACCAGAAAATAATAGCCCTACATCCAAACCAGGCAGCAAGAATCTTAGGAATCCATATGGAAGGCTCAGGCACAAAATCATTTCAGAAGTATCTAATTCAAGAGAGAACCATCAAGTTCACAAACACTATCAAATGGAAGACCACTACAGACAAACAGTTAAGATACCTCCACAATCAAGTATGGATCCCATTAATAACGTATTTATTATCAGACCTCATTCTCTCAGAAAAAATCTGTGATAACATAATGAGCCACCTCAACAAAATATACAAGCACAAACTAAACATCACCCAAACAGCCCCCAACACAATTCTCTACAATCCCTTAGAATACGGTTTCTTCCATATCTGGAACAGGCAAATCCTTTTACACGCAAACAACTGGCAAATAATGATCAACAGAAATGACATTATAGGACGGATAACAAGCATGAAACTACAGGAAGTACAAAACACCTACTGGTCAACAGAAGCAATCACAAGTATCAACTTCAAAACACCAATCACACCCCTAGGAAAGAACCTGACACACGACAAAATATTCCTACTCAGATAGCAAGGCTTCACAGAAATCACAAACACAATCAAAATCATTCAGAAGACTGACACAACAAGTGAGGAAATCATAGAAACAGCCTGGTACTACAAACACAGAAAACAACTAGCAAAGAACCAGATAATGTTCCTTAACCAAATCACCAACTTCACAGGTACAAGGCTAGCAGCATGGGTAGAAATCACCTATCCTAATAAGAAACCAAACCGGAAAAAAACCACATGGTATAAAGAACTGCAGAACAACCCCAGAGTTCATGAACTAATCAAACAAAGAGCAACAAGCCAAACCTTTAGTTACTCAAACATACAACTTGCAATAGAAACACCAAGGAACAAGATCAAGTGGGTTGCAAACAAAACAAACAAACATAATATAATCAGCAGAAAAAAAGCAATAATAGGTAATACAGCCAAGCTACAACACTATACAAGAATCAACGAACAGTCCCTACTGCAAGAATATCATAGATGCGCCATAGACACACAAGGAAAACCAGGAGAATGCATATTCACAAGAGACCTCTGCAGCTTAAAAAACATCCCAGTACACAAGAGCAGAAAGAGCTCCAGACACGAAACAAATGAAACAATAGTACACAGAACTCGCATCA